TATGTATGTATGTATGTATGTATGTATGTATGTATGTATGTATGTATGTATGTATGTATGTATGTATGTATGTATGTATATATGTATGTATGTATTCTCATAATTTTTATTGTATATATGGCTTTTACATGTTTTCTTCTGTTTGTCTTCATGGTAATTAACGCTTTTTGCTTACATATATTTTTTTTCATTATATTGTGTGGTTGTTTTTTTTTAATTCATGAATCAATCTGGTATAGCGTGTAGTTCATTGTGTTTTCGTTTCATATTTTAACCGCTTCCATTCTGTTGTCATTGTATCGCCTGATGAAGTGAGATACTATTGAAAGTTTGCTGCTTAAAATTTAACACTCGGCATAGCTGACAGAATCATTAATAGAGGTACGGCCGGTTCTCACGGCCGGACGACGGCCTCGGCCGACCCTAGAACAGGGCCAAAGTTGGCAAACAGGCACTCAGTAAGCGACACTTTATGACAGTCCGACAACTGGTCAAAGAGAGCATTGAACCCCGACAATGCAACGTTCGTCCCGACCGGTCCTTGTAATCACTAGCGAGTGCCACAAATCAGGAAATCTGTAGGGCGCGACGTACGCGCGCACGGGTTAAAAGAGAGGGGTTTTGGGAGAAACGGGAGAGCCACCGTCAAGGCGTTGGTATGTGTACACTGTTATTGCTCGTGCTTAGAATAAACCTATAGTTGTTTACCGTTTACATCACCGTTACGTCTACTATCTACGTCTACTGTCTACGATACGATATTCCACGCTACATGTGTGTGTGTGTGTGTGTGTGTGTGTGTGTGTGTGTGTGTGTGTGTGTGTGTGTGTGTGTGTGTGTGTGTACGTATATGTATGATAAATTAATTACATTTGCCTGTTATAAATTGAATGTACTTTATTTAATGTAAAAAATGTTCATATAAATGTGCAGTAACAGACAACAATTTACACGTGACGTCACGCTATGACACGTTACGAGTTTAGGTCCATCTAAAAGCTTATCTACTGAACGCCAACACTGCATCTTACAAGTCACACAGACTAACGCGCTACAAACAAGGAAACGATGCACTCCCACCTAAGTGCGCAGCATCTCCACCTCGTCCGTAGAGATAATTGTGCGTCAGAAAAATCACTATATATTATATTTATGTATATATATATATAAATTGCGCCTTATAAACACGTGCGGGAAAGAACGACATGTTCAACATAGCGTCCGCAATGGCCAACGCCGACTAGTGTCGTTACGGCATTCACTTCAATGTCATTGTATATAGTTGCGGCGGCGAGTAATTCGACTATCGTTGTATACTTATCTGGCCACTATAAGTTCCTATCGGTTCTAGCCATCAAAAGCTGCCTCCTATTCGACTATGCTATGCAAATGCGGCTCATGAAGTGAGGCTTCGCGAGAAGATGATGAGTGGTTTCAATTGTGACTGCTAGTCAAACGGATAGCGAGTGTACTCACGCTAGTAAATCTGTGATATCTATGAATATTTGATTTATTATATCTATTCATAGTATCAAGTATATCTATGTTATTTATTAATTGTATATCTATGATATCTATTAATAGTATATCTATAATATCTATTAATAGTGTATCGATGATATCTATATTTAGCATAACTATAGTAATTATTATTAACATATCCATGATATCTATTACTAGCATATGTGCTTACTCTACGCATGTCTGTGAAGTCATTGCTTAACAGTTTTTGACTAATTACGGCTTGTATTTGCTAACAGATAGCAGCGAGAGTGAAATGATGAAGGATACAGGTCCTTATATAAAAGCCAAAGCAGCCCGGTCGAAATTCGAATGCGCGTGACCTTAAACTAATTCTGAATTGCGAGCGCAAAAAAACTAACGAGTATCTAACAAAGAAAATACATATTGTGATTTGTCAGTTGAGTTGTTAAAAGTACAACATAACGGTCATCATGATCGCAGATAAAAGATGGACCAGACCATGGAATAACCTCGGTGACTTCGTTTTAACGTGGGCAGTACGCTACCTACTGCTATTAGTGACTGCTGGTGATAACAATTCACGGACGAACACTCCATATTCAGTTTAAAACGGCCGCCCAATGCCGGTTTCAAGAATGCCCAACAGCCGTAACCAAACGTGACGTGGCGTTTACCAACAGGGGTCGACTATTGTGATACCCTATAGCTGATTATATAAGGTCTCTCAACGAAAGTCAGTCGGGTTAAATTTCACATCGGTTGATTTCGCTTTGCCTTTACATGGGTGTTACCAAGCGTAATGAACATTAGAATTAGAGCGGTTTAAACTGTTAATAACATGGTGATGAAGGTTCCCTAACAGATTTTTATTTGGTGCCAGCAATCTGTTAACTCTCGACATATATTACCTTGTCACCAAAATAAAACACTGACCAACTTAGAATAAACATTTCACTATTCTATGACGATTTTTTCATCATTTCTATCTATAATATCGATTCATCGGCAACTACTGTTTAAAGAAGACCGAGAGGAAAGGCAAACCATCGTCTACTTTTGCAAACCAGTTAGTGTAACTACATAACAAACACATTTGGATATATAGCGTACAGAACATATTCCACACACACACACACGCGCTCTCTCTCTCTCTCTTCCGGTCTCTCGCGTAGGACTATCCGCTCTCTCACCTCGGTCTCTTCTCTCGTTCTGCTCCTCCTCTGCTCATCTCTCTCTCTCTCTCTCTCTCTTCTATCAGACTATAAAATAGACAAAAGTAACTCTATAGAAAGAAACGACTTGTCTGTACTTAAAATTTAAACTAACCTAACTTACTTATTCATGTATATATATATATATATATATATATATATCACGTACAAATGGAGCGGTGCCTGTATCTTGGTGTTGCAACAGTCTGCTTACCAGCCTAACAACTAAGTAGCGTGTATAATACAATAAACGCATCATTTCCTTTTAAGCTACAGCACGCGCGAATCGACTATAAAAAATTCAGGCACATCGTAGTATTTTATAATAACGCCTTTGTCTATGTATTATATATGTTTGTAACAACAACGTCAACAGTTGCATAATAGCGGCTCGTCGTTTTGTTGAATGCCCTGAGTATCAGTGCTCTCCTCGCCACGGCCTTGGCCATCTTGCTGGTCATATTATCGGCCATGGTATCGTTTATATTATCGGCCATGTTGTCGGCCATGTTGTTGGCCATATTGCCGGTCATGCTGTTGGTCATGCTGTTAGCCGTTGGGACGGCAATGGTGTCGGTCAAGATGACGGCTGCATGTTAATAGCGATGTTGGCGGTCATGCTGTCGGTCATCATTGCAGCCATGTTATCAGCCACGTTGCCGTACATTTTCTTCACATGTTGACAGTGAACCTTTTCACACATGCGTGCGTTTTTCTTCGGTGCGGTGTCTCAGGCGGCACATTCGTGTTCGCTCTTACCAAGGACAGTTCGAAACCACTTCTAGCCGACTATCGATGCAATCCCACATCAGCTATACGCCGGTGCACGCACGCGATTTGAATATGTATTAGCAAATGTTCTAGAATGTTAACCTGTTCAAATTTGTATTGAGGGTATTCAACACCGACTATTACACCTTCTCACACCCCGCGCATTTGACCCGCATATTAACTGCGAGAGTTCATTGATATGATGAGACGACGCACACATCGCAGGCCGAATGCACGCACGCACGCATGCACGCATCTGCCCAGAGCACCTGACTCGGCCATTTCGCGTCACTTCTCACGGTCACAAGATGACGCACTTGTTGCGTCGCAGGGCGCCTTGGATGCGCACAGCCGTCGGTTTGTGTCCGTAGTCAATGTAGTGTATGGCCTTCATGAGTTCTTTGAAGAGCGCCACGACGTGCCAGTTGTAGCGCGCCGAGCACTCGATGTATCCACACTTCCAGCTCTTCTTGACAATGTTAACGACCTCGCGGCGTTGCGTGTCAGCTCGCGGTGCGCCACCGAGGTCGTGCTTGTTGCCGACGACAAAGATCAGCACGTTGTGCATGTTTCGGCTCGCCAGAATCTGCTCGCGAATGCTCTTGATGTACTGGAATGATTGCTCCTGAGTTAAATCAAACACGAGTAGGTAGGCGGTGGCGCTGCGTAGCCCGTAAAATCGGAAGTCGGTCCACTCATGCAGCGACGTCATTGGAAAGTAGGGTATCACAGGCAGGTCGACGATGCGGATCTGGTAGAGATGTTCATTGATGACCACCGACGGGAAGTAGGTGTGCTTGTGTCGCGTCGGGGCGTGGCCCTCGGTAAAGTCGTGGTAGACGAACTGGCGGATAATAGAGCTCTTGCCGACTCCGGGCGCACCGAGTACAACGATCTTCACCAGATCCATGCCACTCGACGGACACATGCCGGCACCACAGTCCGAGCCTGTCAACAAAGAAGCAACGTACATTAGCTTCTCGCAACTACAGTGATGTAAATCGGAATGTGATGTGATGTTCATATGTGAATCGTTATGTCCGAGACATAAAGAAATCGGAAATGCACGGGCTGGGTGGTGAGCGGTATACGTGCTGTGTGCATGGGCGGACGTCCATGCGTGCGTCTGTGTGCGCGTACATTTTTCGTGCGTACTACTGTACGTCCGCACACACGTCATGTCATTGCGTGCACATGCGTTCTCCCATGCCCGTCTGTAGTTGAAAACCCCTCGTGTTTTGCAAGCCAACATGTCTCCGCTTTTTAAAATAATCTTTTCTGCGAATCTATAATTCCGGTATACTCGGCAGCCTTTCAGTCTAGCGGCGTAACGAAGCGCGCCTTTCTTTGCAGTTACATCAGTCGCGTCGCATGGCTCGCTGTTACAGGGTTCATCAGCGACGAGGACGATGGTGACGACGACGACGACGCCGACGATGATGATGACGACGCCGACCACGACGATACTGGTCATGCCAATCCGTCGTCTCTCATATGTGACGGACCATAGCGAGATAGTAACATCCGGTTCAAGATGTGACGTCTCATATAGCGATATCTACTTTAGGCCTACATTGGCCTTTTTTAAGACGCGATAGCCACCCTCGTATTCATTTTAAAGAGCATAATTGCATGCGAACCGGCGGTAGAAATTATAGTAAAAGGAGTGAGATGAATTTCGGCAGTGGGCAAAGTACTATACTGCTATACATAACTCGTGGTTCTACAGCAGTCATAAACATACACGCGAGCGAACGAAGGACAACGGTCAATAGCACGTATGATTGTGCGCTCACGTTCATTCGTGTGTTCGCGCTTTTATGTGAGCGTGCCGTGATCTATCTACTCTCTCTCCCCCTACATAACGAAATATATATATATATATATATGTGTGTGTGTGTGTGTGTGTGTGTGTGTGTGTGTGTGTGTGTGTGTGTGTGTGTATGTGTGTGCGTAGATTTGCGTGCGTGCGTGCGTGCGTGCGCGCCCGCGTGTGTGTAGGTGTGTGTAGGTGTGTGTATGCATGTGTGTACGTGTGTACGTATGTACGTATGTACGTATGTACGTATGTACGTATGTACGTATGTACGTATCTACGTATGTATGTACGTATGTACGTATGTACGTATGTACGTATGTACGTATGTACGTATGTACGTATGTACGTATGTACGTATGTACGTATGTACGTATGTACGTATGTACGTATGTACGTATGTACGTATGCACGTATG